GCCCCTGCCCCCCTTCCTCGCCCGCCCCCAGCTCGGCTCCGGTCCTTAGGGCAGCGTGACACAGGCTGGAGTCGAGAAAATAGGCTTTATTGCGCCGACTCACGTGTGCACGCCCACACACGTGCACAACCACAGACACCCACACACCAACACACGTGTTTATGCCCACCCCGACATAGGGGTGCGAGCCCACACACACATGCATGCCCACGCACACCCCAACACAGGCATGTGCACCCACACCCAGGACCCCCCAACACACGCATGTGAGTCGAGAAAATAGGCTTTATTGCGCCGACTCACGTGTGCACGCCCACACACGTGCACAACCACAGACACCCACACACCAACACACGTGTTTATGCCCACCCCGACATAGGGGTGCGAGCCCACACACACATGCATGCCCACGCACACCCCAACACAGGCATGTGCACCCACACCCAGGACCCCCCAACACACGCATGTGAGCCCACACCCCATCACATGTGCACACCCACATACCCCAACACACACGTGAACCCACCCCATCACACACGTGCATGCCTGATCACAGATCCTGACACACGTGCACACCCACACACGCAGGCACGCCCACACAGACCAACACGTGTGTGCATGCTCACACACCCCATCACACACATGCACACCCACAGCCACCAACACACCCACACGTGCACACTTACATGCAGACCCGACAAACACATGTGCACGCACACACATCCTGACCCACACACATCAGCAAGTCTAACGCCTTCCATGAACCCTAGACCCCCCACCGACATACGTGTCCAGCAGAGGACAATGACACACACAGATCTGTGCTGCTCCGCCCAGCAGAGAGCAGTGGTGGGAGCAGGAACACACACTCCCGGGACAGGGGTGGGGGGGTCTGACATTTCCATCAACAGAAAACCAGTGTACGCACGCATCCCCAGTGCGTCTGACGCACAGCTGGCCGTGGCAGAGTGTGCACACATCGACACATGCACACACGCACACACGTGTGAACTCCCTCAGTGTGTGCACACCTCCACACACACACACATGTGCACCCTTCTGTGTGCACACATTGACATGTGTACACACTTGTGCACACCCTCCAGATTGTGCACGCATCGACATATGCGCACACACTTGTGGACAACCCCAGAGTGTGCACGCATTGACACACGCATGTGCACCTCCCAAGTGTGCACGCATAGACACACACACACACACACACACACTTGTGCACTCCCCCACAGTGTGCACGCATACACACACACACGCACGCCCCCAGAGCGTGCACACAGCAACACATGCTCACACACTTGTGCACATCCCCAGACTGCACCTATCAACACACGCGCACACTTCTGCACCCCCGAGTGTGAATACATTGAGACACGCACCCACACTTGTGCACACCCCAGACCGTGCATGCGTCAACACGTGCACGCACACTTGTGCACGGCCCCCGACTGTGCACGCATGGACACACATGCACACACTTGTGCACACCCCCGACTGTGCACGCATGGGCACACACGCACACACCTGTGCACGCCCCCAGAGTGCAGGCGTCCCGAGCCCCTGCACAGGGCTCACTCTGGCTGGGCCCGGCCCCGGCGGGTGCC